GACCAATCACAGCCGTTGCTGTCCCTGAACGGCATCCGTCAAGTCCGATGACGGAGTCGGTCTTGTAAAAGATATTTTGTGCACCCTGAGAAGGAGGAAAGGCTCTCTGTCAGCTCCCAGCGTTAACGTATGGGGCGCAACAGAGATGTAGCAGTGGAGTATGACACAGGCTTCCTCCATCAGCCATAGCAGCAGGATTCCTGCCACTGACGAGGTCCACTAATAGACCTGAGCTGTAACCTGACACATTTCAAAACAGGGCCATCAAGATGTTCACATAGATAAAAGGTCATTTTGTCCAACTTTTCCTCACTTCATTGAATTGGTCTAAATCTCCAGAACGTACTTCTGCATCCGTTATTGCCTGTAAAAGTTATGGCTTGAACAGCCCAGAGTCATAGAGCTCTCCTAATGCACAAGCCATTTATCATTTTATAGCTTCGAAAATCGAGAATTCAGTTTCTAATGAAAAAAAGATCACTCGTTTTTTTTAAGCGCAAGGACATGAGATTTTTATAAAACAAACTTCTAGTCTGAGCGAGCGTACACGGGAGAGAGGAGATAAAAATGCATCCCATCTTAAAACATCTAAAGCAGACTTCTTATCCATGCATTTATACCTAGACTAAAAAACAGTTGCAGTTTAAGTATTCACAACGCTGCAGCTTGAGTCCTCCTGACGAGAACCAGGAAGTATGATCACATAAGTCCAGTTCTCAGGTGTCTGCACTGGCTTCCTGTGGCTCAGAGAATAGACTTTAAAACAGCTCTGCTCTTTACAAGTCTCTCCATGGCCTCGCACCAAAGAACACCAGAGAGATGTTAGTGCCATACGAACCAACTCTGACACTGCAGAGCACAGGGACTGGCCTCCTACTGGGACTCTGGGGACCACAGGGACTGGCCTCGTGCAGGTGCCCAGTGTCAGGACAAAACATGGGGAGGCAGCATTTCAGATTTATGCAGCTGAAATCTGGAACCGTCTTCCCAAAAATGTGAAACAAGCTTCTACTCTGACTAAGTTCAAAGTCCAGGTCTACGTTTTTCATGTATGATTGTTTCCATTCGGGTTTGTTCAGCACTTTGAGCTGCTTTGTGTATGAATTGTGCCATACAAATAAACTTGTTTTTATCCTAATGGAATTTATTGTGGCTACAATTATATTATTGGTGTCTTAAGATTTGTATTATCGTGACCAACCAAAATTGACGCGGCTGATTTGGATCTGTCGTTTTCTCCAATCCAATCCAATCCAACTTTATTTATAAAGCACTTTAAAAACAACAGCGTCGACCAAAGTGCTGAACACAACAATGAGGATTACATTAATAAAACAGTAAAAACAAAAGTACAAAACATTCCAAAGTCGAACTTCTCAGGTTGTGTTAAAAGCCAAGGAAAAAAGGTGTGTTTTAAGAGAGGATTTAAAAGGAACAAGAGACTGTCTCAGACTGTCTGTCTGAGGTGCAGGGGCAGTGCGTTCCACAGTTTAGAACCAGCAACAGCGAAAGAACGGTCGCCTCTGGTTTTTCTTTTTGTTTTGGGAACAACCAGCAAAGACAGATCTGCTGACCTCAGGGAGCGTGCAGGGGTATAGGGCTGCAACAGGTCAGACAGATACTGAGGAGCAAGACCATGAAGACATTTAAAAACAAATAAAATTATCTTAAACTCAACACGATATGAAATAGGGAGCCAGTGCAGTGACCTCAAAACAGGTGTAATGTGCTCTCGCCTTTTGGTGCCAGTTAAAAGGCGAGCAGCAGCATTTTGTACAAGTTGAAGTCGAGCGAGAGACGACTGATTGAGTCCAAAATAAAGTGCATTACAATAGTCTAAACGATTTGTGATAAAAGCATGAATTAAGATCTCAAATAAATGCTGAGGAACAAATGGTTTTGCTTTGGACAGTTGCCTGAGCTGATAAAAGCTGGACTTTACAACAGATCTGATCTGAACGTCAAGCTTCAGAGCACTGTCCAGCTTCACACCGAGGTTTGTCACAGTTGGTTTTAAGTATTCTTCTAAAGGACCCAAATCCACAAAAGAGGAGGGGGCATCTTTTGGGCCGAGCAGCAAGACCTCAGTCTTTTTGTCATTTAAATGTAGAAAATTTAGTGACAGCCATTCATGAACTTCCTCAATACACTTCAAAAGTTGCTTTGTACAATATCCATTGCCATGTTCCAACGGTAAATAAATCTGGCTGTCATCAGCGTAGAGATGGAAAGCAACATTGTGCTTACGCAAGATGGACCCGAGTGGCAGGAGGTATAGTGAGAACAGAAGAGGGCCAAGTATAGAGCCCTGGGGCACACCATATTTTATGGGAGCAGTGGCGGACTCTACATTTCTAAATCACACCACAACATGCCGTCTTCATCTTATAAGAATGAAAGCTATCTTTGGCTTGAAAGGTAGGTCTTCCACTTTAATAACTTAAAAATATTTCATATTTATTTAATATTTATTGATTAATTACAACAAATTTAAATAGAAAAATAGAATACACTTAAAAACAGTGAGATAAAGTGAAAATGTCTTTCTTGTAGTCATTTGTTAAGCAACTTTTGTTACAAAGTGAGAAGAGAAAGAAAATACTAATGGTCAACTTTCGTTACTATGACAACTACAGAGATTACCAGGATGCCTCGTCCGACACGACAACAACATTCTTTTTAACCTAAAAGTGCACAGACCCCTCAGCCTACATCAGGAGACCGCTGCGGGGCAATAGTTGATCAATGAGACATCCAAGTCGGAAACATCGCTTCCTATGTAATTAGAGAGTAAAATATTGAGCTAACACTTCCTGCCTTTGAGCCAGTAAAACAGACAAGCCAAAGAACACCCGTGCATCTGCAATAGTAGTGGTCCATTGTGGGCAGCTACACCCCCAGTTTAATTGTGATACCATTTACATCACATGGCAAAATGAGTAGGAGGCAACTCAGAACTATGGAGGAGGTGGGGAACTGGGAAATAGAAACATTGGGAGACATTTTGGAAGCTTAACAAGATTACAATGACATAGGAAAAATATAAAAACCAACATCAATGTCTACTGCTTTCAAGACTGCCATTTCAGTCTTGTGACTTGCTTTAAGTTACGCATGCCTTGGTACAGTCATAACAAAGTGTGAAATTGTGTTATTTTGTTAACTTGAACTAGGCCGGGAATTTGCCCAGCTCCATTCAGTGCGTTTTAACCCCTCTCACTTACACACAAGATTTAACCATGTCACCAAACTGTTACAAAAAGTATGTCAGAAGGTGCATTTTTACCATACTCACGGCATAACTGGGTACTGTTCAAGTATTTCTTGACAGTAATGAACGCCAGTGCTGCCTCGCACCAACCGAGACTGACGCACATATTCAACTACTTACACATTTACAGTATATCTACAGTATGTACACATTTATGCTAGGTTTTATTTAACATGGTTTTGTTACTTTCTAACCCTCTCTTACAACCCTTTTTGCACAGATTTCCAATATTTTGATTGCAATTCTTTCCCCAAGTTAACAAATGAATATCTTATTGTATACTTGTGCACAATCACATCACTGGTCAGTTATAGAATTGAAATGACAACAATGTGGATCCATATATTGAGAATTTAACACATCCTGAGGGTTTAATCTCAAGGTTATGAAGACAGTAAATGTTAAATAATGGTCGAGGTGTATACTGTATACTACATTCGAGGATGTCAACACAAAAGGTAGCAGGAACGCATGTCCAGAAAATATATCAAAACAATATGAGAAGCCTGGTTAATTACAGATGCCATTTTGAACTAAAACAATATAAGGTGGCAAAAAATGAATTTCACTAGTGCACTTCACACTAACTTGAGTGTAGAATTCACACTGCATTTCAAAACAGCTTCCAAATGCACATTGACACCCGGGAGGATACAGTGCCAGGCAGACGTCTCCACAGGATTAGACTACTACTGGAGCCACCAGGTCATCGTGTGTCTGGTAGTCACAGCCAACTTCAATGATAGCCTTGGAGACATACAATAGGGAAAACATGCCTGCATAGTGTCTCAAAGTTATTAGTGCGGAGCAGACGGTTAGTGCATGTTATATTATGCAGCTTGTTGTGTGACAATTAAATAGATGTTTGTGCAGGTGATGCTCGCATACAGTACAGTGCAGAGGGGTGTGGCAGCATGCAGCGCGGGCACATCCTACTGTAATATGTTCCTCCTGCACAATAATGCATGCACGCGTCTTTTCAAAACGTACCCTACGCGTAAACCTTTATCTCCTTTATGCGTAACTGCATCTGCCACATGCAAACAATTTACTGAAATCAAAACAACACCGAGATGCTTGAGTCCTGCATGTTTAAGCCGCGATGCATCCTTCACAGAAAAAAATAGAAGGACATTTAATACATTTGCAGGTGCCATAAATATATATAAATAAACACACTCATACATACACTGCTATTGGCATCTTCTGAACATGGCGGAGGATTTTCCCTTGTCCACTGCCATGTAACTTCAGCCTCTCATGAACTCCCATGGGTGCATGACTCTTCACACTCCTCAGCACAAATATATACCTACATAACACCAGCAGATCCTTTTGCTTTCTATGGCTTTTAAACCGCGCACACGGGCTGGCTGGCTCTCCACAGACCAAGCAGGGAAACCGCTGCAGCACTGACCACTCCATAAAGTCCCCAGAAGTCATACCATCGATGGGGATGTAAAAGCCTCCACAAGTTTTGCCCTCTCTCCAACGCTGCTCCTGCTCAAGTTAATAATGCATTCAATCTAAATCTAAAACCAAAGCACCACCTGAAGCTGAAGTGCGCGACATGGCTGGTGGCTGGACATTTGGCGACAAGACCCAGAGAGAAAGACCACGCCGAGTTCTCAAGAGAGAGCACGCACGTATATGTCGTTTTGCTCGGAGTCAGATGCGATTGGCGGTGTCTGCAGCAAAAAAAAGCCGATTACATGGAGAATAACCCTACCTTTAGATGATCCACTGGGGCATTTCAAAGCTCCCCGGCTCCAGAGGAGATGATGCACGGCGCGTTTCTCTGCAAAAATATATTCCACCTTGTTGAAGAAGAAGCGGTGATATGTCCAAGTTGACCGGGAGAGAGCAGGAGAGCAGCGGAACCTCAGTATCGCGTGTTTGTTGGTGTGTGTAAGCGGGAGGGGGGGTAAATCCAGGGGGCAGAAAGGAAATGCGTCACTAATAATGGACAGGTCGCATTTGTAGTCCACCTGCGACATGCACGAACCACAATCTGTCATGGATCTATAATTACAACGCAATGTGTATAATAAAGTCATGGCACATAAACCCAGAATACATTGGTTTCTTCTGAGAAACAGATGCACAAGGCGTGACACTAAATAAAACACCTGTTTGTGTAAAGCTCGTTTTCCTAACTTTTTTCGTAGATATACATACAGCTTGTCCCAACAGAAAGATCTTCTAAAAGTAAAATGTTGATTCAGGCCCCACATCTTATCTTCTATCTATCTTATGAAAGAAGAAAAAAACAAAACACTTTATCTACTGTTCTAGCCACTATTTGAAGCGATGGGCAGATGGGCTGAGGAGGGTGGTCCTCTCTTTTCTGTCTGAATAAGCTGCTGATCTAAAGATGTGATAAAAACAATAGCTAGTGATAAAAACAAACTTTTTTGAGACTGAGGAATCAGTTTTTGTGGCTTGAAAGTTAGGTACCCCAGCTTTAACCCGTGGTAGGTTTGTTGCCAACAAATAAGTCAAGAAGCGTTGCCAAAGTAAAAAAAAAAAAAACTGTGATATTTTTCTTGAGAAAGAATCAATTCCTTAAAGGGACTATTTGTGGCCACACCGAGCTTGTTGTCATGGTACAGTTGGTTGAAATGTGACTCTAACTGGGTCAGTGCTTTAAGATGTGGACAGGCCCCCAGCCACAGCGGGACAATCACAGCCGAAATTCCAGACATTCTGAGCCAAACCTCCTTGTTACAATCAAAGCATTTGACACGTCTGTTCTGAAGCTTTGGTTTATTAGCGTTTTGGCCCCATGGCAGACCCATACTATGCTATATAATAATTCATTTCATAATAATAACTACTTTGTCCAAAGGTTTACAGTCTCAATATGCGACGGTTTTGATTTAATGCAACTTGGCTCAAGAATAGAGAGTATCGTCTATAAAAGGTATCATCTCCATTCTCCATCAGCCTGTCAACCTACTCTGAAAACCAATTTACTTTTCCTTGAATTTGGCTACCGGAGCAAACAAGCAAAAACAGATGTACTTATTGTTTTAATGAAATAATTATACTTGTTATGTGTAATTCTACGTAGGCCTACTTATTGAGTACATTACTAAATGGAATCACATTAACACTTCCATCTAGTGGTCAATCCTGAGTAGGACATTTCAATAGTTGTAAGGCGACACTTGACAAGGCAATATGACAAAAATAAGAATGGAGTCCAGATTTCAAGAATACGGTTTAATATAGTCAACACATTAAACACACATTCATTCCTGATCAAAATGTTACGTCCAGTACACGGGTTGAAAACACTCTTGCACAACCTCAACCTTTATGGAAAACACACCTCAGCTCATGATGACCAATGACAATTATATGCTCCGGCTCAGTCTTACTCCTGAGTTAATGTCTTACCTTAGCTGTGATGGCACTTTGCAAGACACCACATTTGCAGAGCGCAGTTTTCTTTGCCATCAGGAGGTCATGACATACATTTTGCACATATGTTGGCTTTAAAAGTCTGTGGCCTTTTCTTTTTTATATATAAGACATTACAAAAAATGTATTCTATATGGCCTTTGTTTCACATTGCTTTTCCGCCATGTTTGGTAAAGATGTTCTTTTACGAGCAGCAGACTCAATTTTCTGCACTAACTCAACATCCCAAGGATGAGTGACCAAACTCAGCACTTCTCCATCTTCTATACCCCCGGCCCTCCCAACTCTTCCTGCTCTGTGGATGTAGTCAACAAGATTGAAGGGAAAGTCATAGTTGACCACTAATTGTACTCTGGATGTGTCCAGACCACGAGAAGCAATGTCTGTGCAAATCAACACATTTATTGTCCCCTTTTGGAACTGATGAAAGATTCCTGAGCGCACGGCGGCAGCCATCTCCCCTTGCAGACGAGCATGTTTGACTCCCATCTCATCCAGCGAGTATCCCAGCCAGTTCACTGTGGCTGACTTATTGCAGAAAACAAGCACAGGACTATTATTGTTTTCATGGACTTTCAAAGCCTGGTGGAGCTCCAACATTTTTTCTGCCCCTTTAACTTTCAGAAAAGTCTGCTTAACATGAGGCATGAGGAAATGAAGCATTTTGCTTTTTATCGTTTTCATTTTTCCAAGATCAGTCACCTGACTGAGAATATCTTCAACACCTCCAGGAAAAGTAGCCCCTACTACAAGCAACTGTGCCTTATGTCCTGGGCCGCGAGTTTCACGAGGATCACTGGAAATGTTTGTATTTTTCAGGATGTTCTCCAACATATCTGAGAAGCTTGGGTCAAACATTGTGTCTGCCTCGTCAATAACAAAAAAACTTAGGTCACTTAAGTCAAGGTAGTTTCTCCGCAAAGCCTTCACAAGAGCCCCAGGTGTAGCCACCAGAATATCTGGGACTTCTCTTTTGAAAAGCATCTTGATGTGTCCCACACCTCTGCCTCCACCCACACTCTTGGACATGATCCCAAATGGCCGACCTAACATCCTGGAAACTGCAACCACTTGCTCTGCAAGCTCTCTTGACGGTACCAAAATGACAGTGTGGACTTTGGGTTCCTCAATGTTGGCTTCTGATGATTTCTGAACTTGTAGTTTGTGAATAATAGGCAGGAGATAACTTAATGTTTTACCACTTCCTGTTTCAGCAGCACAGAGAATATTGTGTCCTTCCATGACCTTTGGGATGGTTTGTAGTTGAACTGTGGTGGGACAAGTTATATTCTGTCGTTCAAGTATTTCCACCAGAGCCTTACTTATGCGAAGGTTGTTGAATGTAATTCGTGTTTTTATTTCTTCACCATCTCTCTGATTTTCCGCAACGTACGGCGCGACTGACCTGGATTTGTTGATAGTGAAGTAGTCCCCAAAAGATTTATTGTGCTTCCATCCTTTTGTACAGAGAATGGGCTTTTCAAATTTCCCATAAGAGTATGCTGCAGACTGGCTCAGGTTCGGGTTTTTGCTCAGGATAAGCATCCGTCCAGCTTTCACGTTGTGGACGTTGATTTTGCCACCGATTTCTCTGATGCTATCAACTCGTTTTTGCATGTATTTAGGGACACGGATTACTGGTAGTTCCTTTAAATCCACTGTTGTCTGATCACAGTCCGATGAATGAAACCAGCCGCAAGTAATCCCCCTTTCAGCATGTGGCTGAAGGAGTAAGGCGAAGCCCGTCCTCGATAAACCAGCGGCTCGAAGCGACAGCATCTGGAGGCCGAGTTAGGCCACAGTGGGTTGGCCCAATAAGTGTTGAACGAACTTCAAATGTACCGTCGCTCAGTCACTCGTGGGTATTTAATATGTCCATAATCCATGCTCAGGTGCCTCTGACCATAATTGATCCACGTTCCGACACCGCCATGCTGGCGACAGTTGATGATGTCACGAAATAAGACTGAGGGGTGCGTAGTGATGACGTATAATCTATGATTTTATATCAACATAAAATATGCACGTTTGTGCGTGTTCGTATGTAATTGAATAGTCATCATCTTATGCCATATATGTTTAGATATATGTATTTAATAACAGGCACCATAAGTTAATTAAATGTTGTTGTTTTTTAATTGTTGTTGTTTTGTATTTAATTTGGAAATTAAATAACCCTCCACTCTCTGCAAAGTTCACAGGTTAACTGACTCCCCGGCATCAGGCCCGGGCGCATGTACCACAGTTCAGCCACACTGGAATCACAAATAATGACCAACCTTATGAAGTGCAATCACAGCTTTTCTATAGATATTTTAATGCCACAGCTGCTGTGGGACATTCTCTGAAAAGTTCTGTTGCGCATTTGAACATGCTTTTTAGCCAGCGGATATACATGGCATCAATTTGTAAAGCTGGATATTTTACTTGTTATAGTGGTGTTTCGCATCTCTGCTCAGAGTGTATTGATCAATGTGTACAGTCAGAAATCCAGTCCATTGTGTCAGGGTGCTATGGATTGGAGCAGAATGCTCTCATCACAATGTCAATTATACTGATCAATTATTACAAACTGTAGCTAAACGTATAACTATATACAACTGTTTTGAATTATGTCAGCCAGAATAATTCAATGTTTTCTTTCTCTGAAGTTAGTTGTATATGAAATTACAGTGAACAGAAGATGTAATACATAAATTAATGAAGCATGTTCTCTTCTCTAAATTGATATATGATTTAAGACTAAGTGCGAAGGTTCAAGTATGTGGAACGCTGGACTATCCCAATTGAACAACAGATGGCAGCAAAATGCAAGCATTGAGACCATACTTCCTATTGTTCTATTTTTTCTTTACTATTACAGAGTCTATTTCAAAACATGTATGAATACATCATACAATTCAATAATGATCTATGGAATTTATTATGTATATGGTGTGCATTTAGGAATTGAGACATGTATGTAAATGCTTTAACGCATGTTGATGAGCTTATTTAGTGAAAATTTAAAATATTTTATACTTTTCAAACGACTTGAGACCAGTGCGATGGCTGATCGTGTAGTGTTAAGATAAGATAAGATCAGAGATCCTTTATTCATCCCCCAGTGGGGAAATTTCAATGTTGCAGCGCACACAAAGCACACAAAATGTACAAAATGTACAAAATAAGTAGCTGCAATGTTTCTCAGCAAGCTGTAAATGCTTCAATATCAATCTTTCAAGATATCAAAATATCTATATACATATAGTGCAAAGTTATAGGGCAGGGTAATAAGTAGATAAAGTGACATTCAGTGGACATTCTAAAGTCGCAGTATTATTTACAGATGAATGACATGTGCAGGCCTCTTAACATCACGTTTTACGCTTATATAATCACAAACCACATCTTTAGACTCCCACACATTTTTTACTCTTTATCTATCCCTTCAAAGGTCATATGCATGATAAGATGCACAGGTAATTTGAAGAGAATATCTGTTAGGACAAATGCAATGCAAGAGAAATGTGTTATTTATTTGAAGGTTGTTGATTTAACAATACAGTAAATGCAACACTGATAATCTGCACAACATATCATTGATTTAGCAGTGGATCTCATAAAGTACCACCTACAATTATTTACTATAATGCCATACCATTTTCACTTTTCTGGCCCAAAATTATTTACAGTTATGACCAAAGAATTTTTACCATGATTGTAAAGCTGGAAAAATACTTAGGATAAGGATTATTACGTATCCCCAAAAAATAAACCTACTTTAGGTCTCATTAATGAAAAAGCGTCTGCTTCATCCATTTTCAAAAACATTTTGTTAAATCAAATTGTATTTATTTGTATATATATATATATACATACATACAGGTATATATTTATAAAACGTTTTTTTTCTTCTTCTCTGAAACAACTGAACACATCCATTTGAATCTGTCTGAGAATGTTTTGAAACAAAAATAAATGGCTGATGAAACACTTACTTACTATAATTATATGTGAGAATAAACTCTTCACAGAGAACAATCCAACCCCAAAATCTGTGTGTTCTTTGGGGAATATAGTGTGGTCTGGGTCTAATTTACTATAGAATGACCAACTGATGGTTTTTAACAATTGCTGTTTCACAGCAGAATATTATATAGGAACCTGTGCTAAAGCAAAAAGGTCGAGGCAGAATAGATGTTAAATCTCTAACTTTTAAGCACTTTTAAGTGCTTTGAGATCAAATTGGCCCGTTTTAGATTTGACTGGAACAAGGTCACATCTCTATTTTTGATCATTCATATTTCCAGGATTTTGAAGGTATATTTATCGATTGGTTAACATGCACGAGGATGTGCCCATAATACATTTCTGAATGTAAATGGGATTATATAATACATAACAAGGCAAGGCAAGTTTATTTGTATAGCACAATTCATACACAAGGCAACTCAAAGTGCTGAACAAAACAAGAAAGCATTAAAATCATAAATAATCACAGAACATTAAAAAGAAAGATAAAGATATAAAATCCCTCAGTTGTATGCACAGTTAAACAGAACTGTCTTTAACCTGGTTTTAAACATTGTCAGAGAGGAGGCCTGTCTCACATCTTCAGGAAGACTGTTCCAGATTTTAGCAGCATGAATCTGAAAAGCAGCCTCCCCATGTTTAGTTCTGACTCTGGGCACTAACAGGAGTCCAGTTCCTGTGCTCCTCAGAGTCCGGGCTGGTTCGTATGGTACTAACATGTCACTAATATATTTTGGTGCCATGGAGAGACTTGTACACAAGCAGAGCTGTTTTAAACGTGTATAAGAATATGATGCAACCAACATTTGGCATCTATTTATTATGGAACAGCAACGTTTTTATATTATATAATGATGATGAAAAATACTCATTTAGACGGTTTTAAATGTCCAATGACCTGGTCATTTGAGAGGAGTCCTGTCCATAATGTGCGCGCGCGTACGTGTGCGTGCGTGTGTTGTTGTGTCTGCTGACGTCACCACGGGAACTGCCTTGTCACGCGGGGTTAGTAAAAGTTGGGAAGGACGGAGCTGAGGAGGGACGGCGAAAGAGACAGGATTTAGTGATAGTGAGAAATATTACTTTTCTCCCCTCATTAAGTTATGTGAGAGCGGTGAATAGAAGCAAAAGTATGTTTTGAAAGTGAATAGAGGATATTCCAGGAAGCGGGGATACGGAGGCTCAGCCTCTGTGTGAAGTTGGCACTCAGCACTCGCGGCTCCAGACGGACTGCAAATGTTTCTGTGTCCGACTGAAGTCAGCTCTGATGAAGCTCCATGTGTGATCAGTCTTCGTGGAGGTTCGTAAATGTGACATCGCACGGGAGTCCACGGCTGAGCGTCAGAGTCCAGCCCTGAGCTGTCAAAACCCATGACGACTGCAAACTGTACCGGGAATGAGGAGCTCGACTTCAGGCTTATGTTCGGGGAGGACAGCCCGCAGCAGCCGCTGGCCCCCACAGGTAATGGACATGTCTCCTCTCCGTGTGTGTTTGGATCGTGGTTTGGATGCTTTACGCGGGGGTTTTCTGTTGCACAGATTATGATTCTCTTTCTTGGCCTGTAGCCTATTAAGTGTTATTCCTTAGTGCACTGTGCACATGTGCTCTCTGCAGAGAACCTAATTAGTGCCTTTGTTTGTTTTGTGTGGTATTTTATACAACTATGAAGAACTCTAAATACAGTCGCGTCTGTCCATACACTGTGTATTCGTACTTGAACAATATCCTTAAAATAACATTATTTTTTAAGGCCTAAGGAGAAGAGTGATTGTCAGGTTAGATATTTCACAAGTTAGGTTGTAACTCGTTTATAAACTCATTAACAACAGAGCCTAAAAATAATTATTGGTTCGCATATGATAAAATTGATTTTTTCTTTGAAAATTAAATCGTAAACAAAATAATAATAATAATAATAATAATAATAATAATAATAATGATAATTAAAAAGTTAATAATTACTATTAACAACTAAGAACCACATTTAAATGTATACTGTGTTAAAACACACACAAATATTAAACTACATTTTTTAAAAGGTGGTTACTATTACGTTGTACGGAAAAGACAAAATAAATGCCAAATTTGATTGACTGAAAGCCTAGAAATAACATCTGTTCTGAACTTGATTTGTCATTTGTTTTTGGCTTCAGCCATTGGAACTTGTCAATACACAATCTGCTGTTCTGGAAATGCCAAAGTACGGACAGTGTTTGGCATGTGCCACCTTTAATAATACAGTAGTTTCCTCTGATCAAATGTTTGGTCTTGGATCGAGAGGAAGGAAAATGTGTTTGAGACATGAGTGTCTAAATGAATAAGTGCAGAGCTGCACAGGACCACACTTACAAAGTAGAGAGTCTCTTTCTCTTTCAGCAAAGCTCAAGTCAGGACATGTGTCTGCCTGACAGATTCTCTCCTGAGCTGTGCCTTCTTCAACTGAGCACCAATTTAGCTTTTTACAACAGTTAAACAATTTAGTGCATACTTTCAAGATCAGTGAAAATCTGTGATTTGACAGCCCCTTTCTCTGTATCTTTTCTTCTAAATTATCTTTGGTGTTCTTCCTCACAATTGTCGTAAGCTTTACAGTTGCATTGTTCGATCAGACATCAGACGGTAGAAGGCGAAGGCTCCATCCTGGTGTTCTTTGTAAGGTGTAATGGCACATGAATACTCAGCAAACTACTGCTGAAGTTACTGTGGTATTCTGGTCAGTTGGGTCAGGGTGCCTCACTTATTCCTCTGTTGAATGTGGCGCACTTGTGCCCATTATGGACCTAGGAAGACTCATGAGTGGCAAATGTGGCTTTGGGCCAGATGTGTCACATGGGCTTCAGCTGGGTGAAAAGCATGAGCGAAAAGATTTTATTACTCCACTGTTTGAACACTTTATTGTAAATGTGCCATGATTTCACTGTTCTATTTCATTCTCTGTCTTCTACTCAGTAAAAACTAAAAATCTTCCTAAAGTATGGCTTTAGATGTTCTTACAGTAACATTGTGCCACGAACTCATCAGCGAGATGGCCTCATGAGTTAGTGGCGACTGTGCATCTGTGAATTGCACAGTTTTACCTCTGCACGGTCAGAGTGGTCTTCTAAGAACATGCCCACAGTGTTGTGGACTGGTCACTGTTGTTGTTATTGCTCTGCTGTCTCAAACCCAGTGCAGGAGCCTCTCAATCCTTGTCGTGGGAAAGACTGAAATTACATCGCTCTCATGGTGGACTATTTTGGGCTGTCGCACAGCGAGCAGAGAGCCGACAGCAGGTTCTAGTCGCTCCTTAGAGCCGAAACAGTGCTGTGTTGTGAGCAGGTGGTCAGTAGCCCACACTCAGAGGACAGGAGCGCAGGAAAATGCTGTGCACCACGTCTCCAGGTGAGTTTGCCGGCTGCTCCAGAGAAACTGTGTGCCCAGACTTAACATTATGATAGAGAAGTACAACTCATGACACCAGCTGCCACTAAGAGATGTTCAAATACATTGAAAAATCCACTTTTGTCTTTTTTTTGCTTTCCTTCTTTTGTTTCTGTCCTTTTTAAATTGAAGGACTTGATGCAGTATAAAAGTACTTATTTTATCAAACCTCATATACAATATAACATCCATTTACTGTTTTTTATTCTGGATAAAGTCTTTTTTTCACAGTTCGCACAGTTGCAAGTATGTAAATGTAAAGGGAATTTGGGTGAGAAAGAGACTGGGTTGAGCGGGTCATGCTGGAGGTGCACATGTGGGTGACCCTCTGAACCGTGATGAATGAGACGTTTGTTTCCCTGGATGAGGCATGAGGAACTATGTGTGGCATCTGTCTAGTTTAAATTTAGTGTAACTAAAGCTACCGCTGGCTGTGCTGTATCAACATGTCAGGGGCAGAAAGCTGTTCTGCTCCTGCATCTAGTTTTTTTCTTTCCTTTTTGGTTTGCTTTGAGGTGCAGCGTACTACACAAGGGATTAGGCTGGCGCGATTCCCATTTTATTTTCGGCTATCCTGCAAAGCCATATTTCAATCAAGCCCAGTCATTGCTGCTTTTCTGCTTTTGAACAGACTTTGTTACCCCGCTAACAAAGGGGTGTTGTAATCATCTCTGTATGGGAGTTGTATGTGCGTGTAGGCAGTATTGCAGGGGTGGCCAACCAGTCAGAGACTAAGAGCCAATTTTTTTTACTGTGTTACAGCAAAGAGCCACATCATACAAATGTGCACTACATAAACATCACCCCAACCCTTACACACGCACGCACACGCGCACGTACTGTACGCACACGAGCAGACACGCGCACACACATGCAATCTGTCTGAGCAGAGAGAGGTGTGCTCTGCTCAGACAGATTTATTGTAAATGTCATCAACATGATAATGACAGAAATTGACTCGTAGAGCACTAAAGGGCTGAACTCTCCCCGGTTTGCGGGCGCTTCCACCGCTCGCTTCAACCGCTCCCCGGTACTTTTTATTAATGGTTTGGCCCTGGTTCTAACCGGGCGAGTCGATACCAGAACAATTTCACGTCAGCGAACATCAATTATGATTCCGAAATGAATGCTTTCAATCTCTAACCAAGAAAAAAAAAATCAAGTTTCAACCCAGTGTTCAGCAGAAACACAACTGTCTTTAGTAAAAGATATAGATTTGACACATAACACCAACACCACATTAGCTGATTTAGAACCACAGACACATGCTCAGTATAAGACCAGATACTTTTGCATTTGATTGAAGACAGACACTCACCAGGCAGAGTTGGCTTATCTCCTGGTGTAATGCTAGTTGTTGTTAGCTGGTTTTAGCATGTTAGCCGGTGTTAGCCGATGTCCGTAAATGTAATCCATTTGGTCAAACCACCTCCAGACTTTTCGGGTCTGCCTCTACTTCTGCTGCTGCGATCTTTCATTTCACGGTTGTCACTTTTAAGCTTTTTAACTTTTCTCTGCATTGTGATGTTCGTGGGAATCCTTCTGCTCCGTCCTTAGTGCTAGCTCCACAAACACCTTCTGGTTTCTGGTGGAACCATCGAGCTCACGCTGGTGTCCTCTCCTCAAACTGAGGAAGGTGTTGCCCTCATCCAGCGACCAAGGAATTGTTTTCCGTACGGACGTCATGGTTCGAGGCAACGTGTTGTTTGTTATGATATTTGCTACAGCTGAGGTAGCAGCTGCAGAGTGATTGACAGCGCATCTGACCAACCAGAATTGACGTTCGCCGACGTCAGATTGTTTTGGTGGCCTGGCTAGTGGAGTGAAGTCGGCCTTTACTATTGGTCAGAACTACATATGGAATGAAAGGCAGCGCCACCACCGAGGCGTTTTTGACGCTTGTCGAGTGAAAGCCCGAGAGCCGCACGGAACCAGCCAAAGAGCCGCATGCGGCTCACGAGCCGCGGGTTGGCCACCCCTGCAGTATTGGACAAAAACCGCTGGATGAATTGATCTGGAAATTTGGTGTGTACATGGTAGAATAGTAGGAAGACCCCACTAACTTTTCGAGACGACCTGTGGAGTTGGTGATGTGATCTCCCAGGGTGCAATTTTTTTAATGTTTTGTCCCAGTGTAATTCCAGTACCATTGGTTATGATACTCAAAAACTATAATAATAATATATACCCTAACCCAACAATATTGATTATGAAATAAAATTAATTAAAATAATATCTAATAATATGTTTGATCTTTATAAGTATTCAATTCAGCCATTTATGAGGTTTGTGTATCTCATAGTTATCTCAACATGGCCTCCTTAATTAGAGGCTTAATTTAGCCGCCAGAATATGTTAGCATTGGCTGATTTAGACTTAGCTTAAGCAGGTTTTATTAGCAGCATTTGACCTTATAGTATCATGTTAAATAAGTATTTTAGAAAAATTATATAATTAATAATGTCCTTGCTTTTGGCATAACCAGTACCAGTAAGTTCTTAGGCTTTAAAGGTTATTTTAATAAGACAGAATGTAAAGAATGTATGCATGTATTGCTTAATTACCTGACATGTTTTGGCGGTAGACTTCGTCAGTGGTCTCTGGAGAAGTGAGTCCCAAGTGTGAACCAAGGCGTAGGCTAGAGTCCTGCACTTGAGCCCTATTCCGAGGGGCCCGACAGCCCAAGGACGGGGCTTCGAGCCGATGACCGTATAATTACCTTGGCTCGGGCACTTTTATTTATTCATTTTCAGAGCGGCAGATTACATTTACGAACGCACCCACTGAATATAGCTTTCTATCACGCTGTAGTATTTGTTGTTCTGTATAGTATTGTCATCGACGACACATAGCGTTACCTTCAAGTGTGTTGTAGTTTATTGCGGCATCTGTGTATCATACAGCTGCTGCCGTTCACTCCGTACACACAGAACTCATTGCAACACATCACTACCATGTATAACTCCGCCCTCTAGCCGGGCCTGTGGTCATATGTGGTCATATGTTAGCAGCACTATATACTATGCTATTTAAAAACATTG